AAAAAAAAAAAAAAAAAAAAAAAAAAAAAAAAAAAGACTGCTCTAGAATTCTGCCAGGACAGAAGTCAAGCTTTCTAGTCCATGACTTGAAGCATCTACATCCTTCTCACTTAAAAACAAAAAACAGTATGGACTCTACTCTACTTGTCTCTAACTCCTTTCCTGTCAATTTTCCCCTAATGAACGCTACTGATAATTTTTTTAACTGATTTCATCTATATGAAAGTGTGACATACGGGAGGAAAGTGTTGTTATTTGATCTTTTCAGTTATGTCCAATTCTTTGTGACCCCATTTGGGGTTTTCTTGGCAGAGATAGTGGAGTGGTTTGCCATTTCCTTCTCCAGCTCATTTGACAGATGAGGAAACTTGAGGCAAGCAGGGTTAGGTGACTTGACTAGGATCACACAGCCAGTAAGTATCTGAGGCCACATTTGAACTCAGGTCTTTCTGACTGGAGGCCTGGCTAGCACTCTATCTCAGTGTACCACCTAGCTATCTGGGACAAGGGTACACACTGTGATTTTTGTCCTGGTCCCATATCTTCCCTATCTGCCATGAATAGCTTTTACCCCAACTCCAAATAGGTGGTTATATAATAAAAATTGAATGGATGTGCAAAAAAAAAAAAAGTGTTGTAAGCCAGCTGTTTGAAACCAAGATGTTTTTCACATAGAAATGGGCCACGTAATATAAAATACATAATGTATGTCAGCCATAGTACTATTAGCCTTGATAATGCAGTTTTTAATCTCAGAACCTGGCACTGTCTCTCTCACATTGGTTTAGCAGCTAAACCAATATTTGCTGGATTGAGCTGAATGTTTTCTGTCGGGCTCTTTCAGAGAGCAAGAAATGGGGGACTCATTGGCCTGAAGTGTGATGGGGTCCTCCGTGCCATGCTCCCAGGCTCCCAGGTTTGTGTAAGGCCCCGCCTTCATTCACATGAGGTATATAGGGAATATCGTGTTCTTATGTCTCTGACGTGAGGCTCGGACCCAGGTCTCCTGGACTGACTCCGGGGACAAGAGCTGACTCTGTCCTCTATGCCACGCTCACTGCTGGTGTTTGTTAATTAGCCGCCTTTCTAGGAAACAGCCCATCACCAGGAGTTCTGTTCTCCACATCCAAGGGGAACATTGTAGGATTCAGGGCTCATGGAGGCCAAGCCCCTTCTGTTACAGAGGAGGTGAAGAGGACTGGTCTGCAGGCACAGAGGACATGGGAGCTGCAGCTGGGGCTGGAACTCAGGTTCTCAACACTTCCAAGTCTACCCACCAACAAGCATTTATTAAGCACCCATTATATACTCCAGTATCTTACTCTGAGAAGCCCTGGCATTGTGAAGACACAAGGAGATGTCCACGCAGAATGTACATCTGAGTTTGTATGAAATAAATTCAAGGTCCTTTATTTTACATGTACTTCTGTCAGGAAAGTCTTTGTGTGGGAAGTGGCCTCTTCAGCTGGATTTTTAAGGAAGCAAGCCCCTTAGAGACAAAGATGAGGCAGGAGGACTTTTGGGCTTGGGACAGTGCAGTTGTGATGAGAGGAGACGCCGTGTCTTACAGGAGGGACAGAAGAAAGCCAGTTTGGCTGGACCTTGGAGTTCTCAATAGAGAGTCCACTTCAGAGCTGCGAGGCTGCACTCAGACTTTTGGGACACCCTGTGTCCTCGGCTTGGAATGGTGGTAGGCCAGGCTGAGGTGGTGAAAATCTTTGAATGCCCAACACAGGCGTTTGTGTCTGACCATAGAGGGAATGGGGAGTGACATGACGCTGTCAGGGCTTAGCACAAAAAGTCTGGGACTTTTGGTTTAAGGTATTTGAGGTCCAAAATGCCTGAATAAGGTAAATGAGTAAAGTGCTAATTATATTTAAGAACCAACAATATTTTCCTCTCTACTTGAGTCTGCCCAATTGTAAAATGGGATGTGTCTGTACCTTACACTGATTGTCCCTCTTTCTCCCCCACAGCACGTCCAGGCTTCCTTGTGCCCAGCCTGGAGGGTTGGCAGAGGACCAGCACTGTCTCCAGGATGGCATTTCAGGGGCGGAGGGGGACAAAAAGAGCTCCACGGCCCCTGGCAGAGAAGGAAGGAGGCCATGCCCGTGTCTCTCTGAGCTCAAAGCACCTACGGTTTCACGCCAAACTCCTCCCGGGGCTTAACAGGCCGAGAACATTCCTGGTGGCTGCTCTAGTTTCCAGCTCTTGGTACAAAGGAGGCCAGAGCTGGGCAGCCTGAATGCTCAGGAATGTGGAGTCTTTTTTTAAACACCCTTGAAGGATGCCTCTGTTTGAGTGGGGTTTGAGGAAGCAGGGTGGGCCGGATGGTTCCCAGCCTGCTTTCCCAGGTGCTGTCC